ATGGGTCCTTCCTTGGGTCATTCCCCACCCCAACACAATATTTCATGGAAATGGGTTGAGTAGTTTTTGTGTAATCCTGCAAACTAACCAAAAAACAAGCAGACAGGAGTGTAAACATAACCCTCTTAACGTAGGTTACCATGGTTTCAGGTCTAATTTGTACATGTGTGTTCCAGCATAACTGGAGTTGGTTAATTACAAGCTCTGATGAAAACATAAGGCAGAGGCAATTACATTGATTATAAAAAAATAAGGAGGATTCATAATAATGATTAAAATATTGATTCAATAATCTGATGGTTTCCGGTCTAACATGTTGCATTTTATAATATTCAGGCATTCCAGTAACTGAAGTTGGCACAGAAAGAGCTCATACCTCTGCCAACGCCCAACAGTCCTTTTAATTCAGTCGAGTTGCACCACATTACACAAACTCATGGATATCATTGTTTTTGTGTAGTCTTGCTTACAGAACAACAAAAGAAGGGGCAGCGGTGATAACATAGCTCCCTTGGTGTAAGTAACTTATGGTTTCAGATCAAATACTTGATGCTGCATAATTTTTCATTATGGAGATAAAGTGTATGTGTCTGTGCACAAGTGTGCTCAGAAGGAGCAGGAAGCGGAAAGGACTCAAAGAGGAAATGGTGGTGGTGATATTTTGCCTCTGTCACTAAGATGAATGCATTACACCACTGAGGCCTATGTTTACTATGCACTGCCTCAACTCAGGACTAAAACCCAGCGCTGTTTATAGACTGGCCTGTTGAACAGGAGATGCACAGAGATGGTCAAACAAAGCAGCTGGTCAGTTGTAATTTTGGCCACAGAGACAGTAGCAGTTTCACGATAGGTTTTTAGAGTGTAACCAAGTTTAACATCCAGGTTTTAACCCATCCACTAATCTATGTCCTTGTTAGATGTGAGTATAAACTTGCCAGAGCAGCCACATATTTCTCTACTGAGTAGTCTAACACAGAGAAGCTGGAACACTCCGACCTCGCCATGTTTTAGTACAAGATATGATAAAGCAACATGCTCCAGGATTCAGTCGTTCGGAGGTGAGAGCTGCTGAGCGTCAGATGGCGGCCATCATTACACGTGGCCTCTTGCTGCCTCAGCTGGCCCGGAGAGGGTTAATTCCCCCTCTGAGGTGCTCAGGTTTCCCGCCAGCTGTCTGTACTCTCAGCTGTTTGTACTCTGACCCCTTTCCTGTCCCCTGTCCCCCTGTCCCAAACCTCACACAGGTCTCACCCTGCTCCGCCACACACACATTCTGCTGCCACTGTGGCTAATAAGTGCTTCTTGCCACTACACCCCTGTTAAGGGTTTTTTTTTTTTTTTTTATACATACTTTAGCGGTTGGCTTGAGTTTCATCTTCACCTACTGTTGCCATGTTTAAGATTATTTTTAATGATGGTCATGACATACATTTCTCTAAAGCCCTCTGATAGTGTAGAGTAGGGCAGTTCCAGTTGGCCTTGTGGACATCAATGAAACGACTATCACAAAATTGGAAGGTCTCTTGGGATAATGAAAACGTGGTGACAGCTGCGTCATGGTCTAACTGTCTGCAGTCTCTCTGTAATGAATAACAGGCCTGACAGTTGTGGAGTAATTGGATCGTAGATTGTTGTTGTGTGAATTTATTCAGTTTTCCTCTCTGGTTAAAAGGCCAGAACAACTGTGAGTGAGTCCTCTGTGCAGCAGCCTCCCCCCCTCCCTGCAACTTTCCAGATGCTGTTTAACTAAAGAGGTGAAGGACCTTATACTGTCAGAACCCTGGATCCGAGCTGCAGACGAGCTATCTAGCAGCTCAGCTCTGTGTATTTCTGCTTCAAGACAACACCTGTTCAGCCATCTGCACCTCATCAAGTCCAGAAAACTCTTAAGTTAGCTGCAGCACCCCTGATCATTTATTTAAACACCTTATTAAACCTCTGTTTCAAATAAAACAAGTTTATGCATTGCAGTGAGCAAACTAGAAGCCTCTCATGAATACTGCTTCGTGGGTACACTGCAGTGTGGCTGAAGACTGGTCGCTTATCTTTACAGTAGCTCCATCTACATGTTTCATGGTAGTGAGTTGTTGGAAGTTGTTATCAGTGGAGTGCATGCTGGATCCTCCACCTCTCACCCATGTAATCAGTGACATATAAAAACCAATAGTGCTCTGCTAGGCTAGGAGAGGTTGGCCTAGTCTGCTCACACATTTCCTTTGTTATTCATAATGACAAGGATTCCATGCTGATTATTTGCAATACACCTCAGTCACTTGCTTTCTCATAGTCCATGAACCTGGATCATTTATTTACTGCTGCACCATGAAGTGATCTTAGTCCCAGTACTGAGGCTGCACCCTCTGAGGGATACGCCCACCAGAGATATGTCCTTCATAGGACCTGATGTCCAGACTGACCTTGCACTTCTTCCCAAATAACAGGTGCAAGTTGTGATGTTTCTCTTAAATACATTATGGACTAACACTTAATTAATGGTAAAAGTTTTATTTATGTATTGGCAAGTAATTGAAGTACTTCCGTGATTAACCGCTGCACTTCTTAGAAGTTCTCGGAATACCTGTGGTTGTATTCCTGCGTTATCCAGTGCAGGTTCATATAAAAATGTTTTTTTCAAAGTTTCAAACTCATGAGGTCACCATGACCTTTGACCTTTTGACAACAGATATAATCAATGAATCTTTGACTCTTAGTGACAACCCGACAAAATTAGAAGAATTTCCCAAAAGGCAGAATTATGTCAGATATCATGTCAAAGAGGCCAGAAAGATGTCTTGTGAGGCCATTGTAACCTTGACCTTTGACCACTCAAATTGTATGAGTTGAGCACAACCAAACTTTTGTACCTAATTTGAAGAAAGTCCCTCAGGACGTCCTTGAGAAATCGTGTTCACAAGAATGGAACGGGCGGAGGGACAGGCAATCTGAAAACTGACCACTGGCACAGAGGTATAAAAAGGAGTAGTCAAAATTAAATGTTAAACCCAAAGGGACTGTTAACATGTCCTGGGTTTCCTCTGTGTACACTGCAAACCTCAAGGATAATTGGTGTAGAGAGTGGATGGACATCATCCATGTTATCTTCATATAGGACAATCAATTCAATAAGCTTTGATATTTGTAAGACCATTATACAACTTTTGAGTTTTTCTCTTCATGACTATCAAACTATAAAAACATCGGACAGTTTATGTACCTCTTATATCATTGATTGTGTTTTTTATTTGTCGAGTATAAGTGACTGGTATTAGTATGTCCTGGTATTGTTTTGGGCTTTTGGACTTTTATGGTGTGCAGTGTAGAGTGTATGGTAGGAGAGAGGGGGAAGGACATATAATGACAGTCCTTTGGCCAGTCCCGCGTGGGGGATTGAAGAGTGCAAAATGCATTATGGGATACTGACAACTACAAAGGCCCTACCAGTTGTGTCATCTGCTGGAGCATCTGAAATGGGATGGGTTATTATGATGTCTCTCTACTGAACACACGTGCAGAATTAAAGGATCCAGTCTCTAAAGCAGTGTATTTATCATTCTTGGATGTGCATGCAGCTCCCCCTATATTTGAATGACCTCTCTAAATGCACACCCCTGATTATGGAATTATCCAGTTTCTATTGTTTCATCAGCGACACCTCTGTTTTCATAGGCAAACATCTGGATTCAAACCCTCAAAAAATATTAAACCAACACTTTTTTTTTAACATGTAGCCTTATTCCCATTCTGCTATTACAGATCATTGGTATCATGCGATAAGTGTTTTCATAAGTGCGGAGAAACGGTGATGCTGTGTTTCTGTGCTTTATAGTGCCGGCCTAACGCCTACTCTGCTCTTATCATGCAGCCCACTCACCAACACATCCTGTTCTGCTGTTCCATGGATGCTCACACTTGTGTGTGTGGCGTGATGCTACAGCTCACCTCCTTAAGTTTATGTAGCATCTTATTTGCCTGCATGGTTTCTACCCTGTTTTACAGTAACATGCTTTATGATTCAAAGTAACAAAATACGAGGGTAGAAATAGTTTTTATAACTCTCCAGTCGAGTTGCTATAAGTGGCTGGATGTGAACTGCAGGATGTTCAGATGTTGCAGGATTCAGAATAAACAGTCCTCAAACTACACTGCTGGAATTCAGTTCATGTCATGTCACCATTTTATACTGAAATTCCTACATTTTCTGTTCAAAACCAATTTTTTTCCTCCAACTTAAATGTAGCTTTCTCTTTTTAAACTAAAGCATTGCATTGCTCAGAGAAACACTACCTGCATTGTTTAGTATTTGACATATGGATGCAATTAGAGAGGTCCCGGCGCATTTCCCTGCCCCGTTCGTGTCATTTGCTCCAAGTCTATTAAAAAACACTCTGGTCTCTGTCGGCCGCCCATTGATCGGTGAAAATGCGGCAAGTATTGAGGTCTATCCTCCTGCCTACCCTGCTGTCAGCTGCTCAGAGAGGAAAAGCCCCATTATGGTGTTGTTTCAGGTGTCATCATGTGGAACTCTGATGTTTGATGACATCTTGGAAGTTTTACCAAAGGCAGGAATCGTCTACTAACTTTCACATTTGCACTGAACTACAGATAATCTCCTGAAATTAACCAGTAAGTGAGAACGGAAATTTCCAAGTCAGTTGCTGCATTGTCCGGAGTTTCTCCTGCAGCCCAAGTAAAAACTCCAGATAATGTCTGAATGAGCCCATGTTAGAAAACAGTGGGAGATTATCTGGAGGATTCACGACAATGCAAGTGTCAATATGCTGTAAAAGAAAACATGTGATCTCTGTAGTGGAATTTATATCTTACATCCTGCCTCCTACATGCTGCACCACAACTAACCTGAAGGTTCCGGACATTTTCCTGTTGACGTGACAGTAACACGATAATTAGTTTCAAATATTTTCCACAGTTCTTGTCTGAAAACTTCTATGATATTATCCAACAATCTGCCCCCGTCTTCCTAAGAAGACTTGTTTTTTCTCTTCACAGGATACACTGAAGCCGGCGTTCACGGTGGCCAGCCTTCCAGGCAGCACCAGCAGCACCCAGTCCACAGTACCCACCACCTCCACCACCATGCAGGTGAGCAGCGGAACTTCGTTTCCCCTCACCAACTACTTGGCACCCGTCTCGGCCAGCAGCAACATCAGCGCCAATGGCACCATCCTCAAGGCCGCCGGCGCCTCCACAGGGGTCATGCAGCTGCCCAGTGGCTTCACCTTCATGCCTGGTACGTAGAGAAGCAGATCATGTCCGGAACATCTAGAACTCTGTAACAGTTCTCATTTCTTGCCTTAACCTCATCTTATAGAATCATGGCACTCCTGCAGACCTTTATGTTTTGTTAACGTCACAGCGTTGTCTCGCTTATTTTCTGATTAGAATCTGAATGGTTTCTCCATGACCTCAGCTGCCATCTCGGGAAGGGGGGTCGTACCTCTCTCAGAGCTGTTTACATCACACAACAGCTCTTCATAGGCAGTCACTAACACTCAGCGCCCTTGGTTTTTACAAAGCCCCCAGTATCCAGGAAAGCTACGTCTATTGGCAACTGGCCCTGGCTTTGATTGTCACTCGGGGACAGGAATAATTAGGTGAGAGGGACACAATAGACTTGGCAATGAGGGCTGACGAACACAGCCCATAATTACTCATGAATATTCAATGAAGGATCAGTGCCTTGTGCTGAAATTATAATTGAGTTGCACTTTGTGGAGCAGGAGCTTTGTGTCAGTGTGGTCCTGAACTACACATGACCCTTCATTAAGGGGGACCTCAGCAACGCACTCTGAAACACAGGGGATCTGTACGCCACCAACTCAAAGAGGACGTTTGGGGCAGTGGGCTCTGATTTGGGGAACCCTGATGTGTTTCATAACTGGCTTTCCCCAGTAATTATTCATTACACTTCCTCTTCATGGAAACACTGTGTCTACATCTGGGGGTCTCCAGGAGGGGCCTTGGGAATCCAAGAGGTCACGATTCCCCTAAAGGCACAAGTAATATTTGACATTCAAGATTATTTAATAATATCCCGTCTGTATAAGAAGCATTTATTCAGATTGTCCATGACATGAAAAGAGCTTAAAGCTGACTGGTGCAGTTTTCTCTCCAGTCGATGATGTAGACCAGAGTCTGTGTTACATCAGTGAAGCTGAACAGGCCCAGTGGTCATCAGTCTTCAGTAGTGAATAGCCGCAGTGTGTGTTGGTTGTCAACACTCAGCTGAACAGACGGACAAAGTGATGCCCACTAATGGCTCTTCTGTTATTTTAACTGACGTGAAGGACAGTCTGGCAGCATCTCTGTCACTTCTCCCTCCTCTCCTTCTCTTCTTCCTCAGTCTCTCGCTTCCTTTTCACAACCTCCTCCTCTCACCCTCCCTCTCTTTCCACCCTCTCACTCCCTCTCTCCTCCTCACCACCTGTCTGGCACATAGCGGCAGTGCCAGGTGGAACAACACACCCTCCCACACTATAACCTCCTCAGCTGGCAGCTTGAAAGGGCCTGTCCGCTCGACTGCAGCAACTGTCTCTGGAGCATCTGACAAATTGTGAGGGTGTAACTCTGGAGTCATGTGCTGAAGTGAAATGTCTGCTCTCTGCAGAAAAAGCTAAATGACAATTCAAACATGATGGAAGAAAATTAGCTGAGATTGAGAAAATGACAGTTACATGTGTTTGGTATGTGCACTGTGACACTTAATCCTAAATAATTTAATCACCACTTAATTCAGTCATGTAGTGAGTCACCATTCAGGTTTAATTATCAGTGTGAAACCGCTGTAGATAAAAATCTTAAATGGCTCGAAACTGAATACTGTCAGTTTTAGTTGTGGAACCTGCCAGCGTGAAAAAATACCACATTGTTGACATTTTAGCTAGCTCAAAGCTCCACTATCCAAAATCACTTTGCCATTACAAAAATTGCACTTGCACTTACGGCGCAACTGCTGTTTTTGAGTGGCTGAGTGGAAAATAATAACTTAAAAGATGTGGTATCAGTTTGGTACATAGACCTGCGTAGTTAAAGGTACCCGGTGGAGGTTTGGACCACTAGTAGTGCTGTAGAGCAATGTTTTTACAAGTTGCTCCCTTGTTTTACACCCTACACATGCACGAGGGGACAGAACCATTTCTGTGAGCATGCAGGCATCAAACTTCACATTCTGCTGTCGAGTTTCATGCTAAGTGCCAGCAAAGGCAAGAAAAATGACAAGATGATTTATAATATATTCAAAGATTGGCTATGAGGAGAAAAAGTGCACTTCCTCATGTTCGTGAAACCTCAATGTTACACACAATGTTTTAGTCAGAAACTTAATGTTAATGTCCTCCACAGTTCACCTATTAAGATCCATCAATGCATTACTGCTTATCTTTTTAGGGTCATGGGGGGAGCTGGATATTGGGCAGGAGGTGGGGTACAATTCAGAGGGTTAGCCTGAATCTGCATGTCTGTGGACTGTGGGAGGAATCAGGAGTATCTGGAGAAAACCTACACAAAAATGGTGGTTATGTTATCTTGCTAAAGATCTAGACTAATAGATGAAACCTTTGATTAGAACAAAATGTAAAAAAATCTGCTGCCGTTCTGTTCATGTCTCAGGCCCCTGCAGGTTGAAATGAACTTTTTCAAATGCTACTATCCTTTCACGTTAAGTCTTATCCTCTGTGCGTGTGTGTCTTTGCCTGCCCCCCTCCAGCAGGCACACCTCTCCCCCCCGGCACCCCCACCATTCCTCTGAGCCAGCTGCAGCAGCACTCCCTGGCCCTCCAGGGGCAGCATGGTCAGGCCCTGGCCGCCGCCCAGCAGCCACAGCAGGGACAGCAGGCTGTCTTCCGCTTCCCTGCTGCTGTCTCCCTCACAGGTGACCTGCTCTGCCTGCTGCCACCACTCTGCCTGCTTTTACTGATCATAGCCTCAACTCAGGCTGCTGCCACTAACGCCGCCTCTTCTTGCTATGAATAATAACCATCAGGATTACTAATTTCACTTGCACGATGACTTCTTCTACCTCAGCTAACAGTACTACCAATGCTTCTTACTGCTACTGTCTACCAACCCCACTACTGTACTTCATACTCCCCTCCTGTGGGCACTGCTCCTCCCTGTGTGGAGTGTGTGATGACTTACTGTAGCCACCGGTTGCCCTCTGTGTGTCTCCAGGAGCAGGCGTTCCCCAGCAGCTTCAGGCTATCCAGGTCCACCCCAACACCCAGCCCACCTCTGAACACAACCCAGAGATCTCCCACACCTCCACAAACTCCACCGGTAGGTCACATCCCCCCTGTGGAGAAACACATACCTGTTGGATTAAACTTTTCTTGGAGCAGTGGTTCACAAACTTTTGCAAATCAAGGACCCCTAAATAAATTTAAATACCATGTTCATTGGTGCTCCAAATGATGGAGAGAGGTTATCCAAAGTTCATGTGATCTAATGATGACACAGCAGAATTTATGACGTTTTACTTGTGCATCAACCCACGATCAGACATTTATTTTAGCCTAAATCATGCAAATATAAAAACGTCTCAATGAGTGGAGGACTTCAGGAGAAGTTTGTTTTTCATTTTTTTGTTGGGATGAGTTTTGTCCCTCATACAGTTTAGTGGAGCCACTACAGAAGCACAGGCAGGAGTCAGTAGTGTACTTCAGACAGCTATTAAGCGCCACCTGCTGGCCAACATGTGTACACAACTCTAACCTTCAGTGTGTTTGCTTTCTCTCCCTCCCACCTTTTGCCTTTCAGCAACGGTGAGTCTCCCAGCAACCATCGTCACCTCATCAGTCCCAACGTCGGTGGCGGGTCACATGATGTACCCCAGCCCCCACACTGTAATGTACGCCTCCACGCCGGGGCTAACCGACGGGGGGCTGGCTGTGCTCAACGCCTTCTCCCAGGGCACCTCAGCCATGCAGGTGTCCCACGCACAGGCTCAAGATGCAGGTGAGGCACTGTTTGAGCACACTCTCATTACTGGGTGACCGCTTTGGATAAATATCGTTTCAGAGAAAATAAGAACACTGATGGCAAAACTGTTTTTCTTCCAGGTGGTGTCCCTCAGGTGTTCCTCACAGCACCTCCCGGCACGGTACAGATCCCTGTCTCTGCGGTGCAGCTACACCCAGTACGGCAAGATCTGCATTTTACAAGTGAAACTCTCATATTCCCTATGCAACCAGCATGCCACGTGATCGCACTAATGCATCCTAACAGAGCACTGGCACACAGAGGCTTGTCACCTGCTGCCTCTTTGTATGAATGTGGATGATCAGCTGTCATGTTGGTTTTACCTGTGACCTGCAGCAAGAGACACGTGCATTAGACTAAACAAAACACCACAGTTACAGTGCATGGAGATGAAGAGTGTGATGTTTTGTAAAATCTCATTTTATAAAGGAAAATGTGAGGAATTCCTTTTGGTTGAAATATGCTGCTGAATTGACCTAAAGATCCTCCAGAACTACATCTTACGAAATCACACTTGACAAGATCCTACACTCAGCAAGAGCATAACAGTAATTGCCCACTTTTTGAACACCTCTGGTTCTGAAAGTACATTTCACATTCATTTTCTCAATGACGTGTCAAATTATCCTTATAAATAGTTTTGAACCAGATCAGAACAAAAATCATTTGATGTGGAGCAAAAATAAATATAGGAAAATGGTCAAAAGGTAAAAATGGCTAACGTACAAGACAGTAAACATTATTATTTTATGAGTAAAGGAACTACACATCCCATAAACCATTGCAAATGGTGAATTCCAGCACTTTTCTTAAAATGCAGTTGATATCATATGAACTTGTGGCTTCTAAAGGAGAATATCAGATCATTTCAGTCTGTAAATTATTACGGTTGATGATCAAAATCTCTATTCAGACAATAAATAGGATTTCTACATCCAGAACCAACACTGTCGAGCTCCATAGAGCGATAGATTATAGAAACACACCTGTCCTGTTATTGATAACAATTAATTCATAATTTCCAAGCTTAAGCATCTTAGTTGTTACAGAAATGATCAGCATCTATTGCAGCGTCTCATCGCTCCATAATGAAAAGCATGCAGTGTAGCAGGACGTCCATCTGTGCTGGGTGCTGTGATGACTTGTGATTGGCTGCTTTCGATTGGCCCTGTGCTCTCTACTGACGCAATCCGTGTTGTGTTCCAGATGGTGATTGGCCAGCAGTCGAGCGGCAGCAGCAGTAACCTGACAGAGCTGCAGGTGGTCAACCTGGACGCGGCACAGAACTCGAAGAGTGACTGACAGACGGCTGGAGCTGTTTAACACAGCAACACAGACAGACATCTCTATTTATTGATGCCTTCCCACAGAGTTTCCCATCACACTTCTGAATGTGACTTTTTAAGTATATATTATATATATATATATATACACACACACACAATCAATCAAGGGCATATGTGTGGCTGACCCTTATACAGTATTCAGTATGTTTTGGTATATAAATATATATATATTCGCAGATGCATAGGAAAAGTATCACTACACCCATCATCGGAACCTGTTTTTTATGCCGTTGGATGGTGTCTAATTTTTTTTTGTGTGTGCGTGTGTTTTTTGAAAGTGTAATTACGTGTACACACACAAGGTGCCACAGCTTCACACCAGCCAAAGAGACATTTGTTTGTCTGAATGTTCCAGTGTGAGCAATTTGTGCACAAGTGTGTGTGTCTGTGTGCACGTGCATATCTGCAGTTTGTAAATGGGGCAGGGAGACGCTTGTTGACTTAGGAAAAGAAAAAGGAAAAAAAAAGTTTTGGAAATGTACATATTTTTTTTAAATTGATGACTTGTATTTTTAGCCTGGTTTAGTTTGTGCAACAGCATGTAGTTGTTTTTTACGTAGTGGTTTTTGTATTTACATGAAAATGCATAAAGAAAATGAATTATTTACATGTATATGTAAATTAATTTAATATACCTTTATATGTTGCTGTCGGGAGTTTTCACTACGAGATGGAGAAAGAACGCTGTATGTTTGTTTTACTTTTTTTGATTCAGACAATGATTGGAATCTCACAATATCATCAAGTACCTGGGTCACAAAATGTAAAACTGTCAGTCAGTAGAGCGTTTACCTCCGCCAAGGCCCAACGGTCTCCTTAAATTCAATCAAGCTGAAAAATATCACATGCTCGGTCCCCTAAAGGTGCCCGAATTCTTTTTCATTTAGATCCTTTAATCATGAATTAATTATTCTCTGGGAAAACTGAAAATGTCAAACGCTCTTTTTTGCAATGTTAAAGGTGATTAAAAAAAGAAATATCCTAGATCTGCCTTTTGATCCAGATCTGAACCAAAATTGAACAGACTCTTCCCTCACCCACAATGCATCCTTCCTCCAAGTTTTGAGGAAAACTGTTGACTTGTGTTTGTGAAATCTTGTCCACAAACAAACGTACAGGGTTGAAATCTCTCTGGCGGAGGTAGTGATATTTCAGTGCAACCTTTGAATGAGTGATCATGTAGTGTAAGTTTTACATGTGAGGTTTCTAATGAAGCCCTGATGTGGCACTTAAAATATAGAGATTGTTCTAACTACGACAATCTGATGGAAATCATCTTCATCAAGCTCAATTCTCACTATAAAGCCTTCGATTTATAATTTCCCCAGTGTTCACATATATGAACACATCATGACTCACACACAGGTAATATCCTGAAGTGAATCTTTTTTTAAATACGTGATTGATTGCTAACCTGTTGATCTGATTAGCCTTCATCAATCTGTAGAACTTACACTATATGATGCTACTTCTCACTTGAGTCACGACATTGGACACAAATCTGTTTAATAAGACGCTGTGTGTTTGTGTGTGTAGATGTAAAAATTCCACTTGAATACTGCATTCAAAGCATCAGTGTTTCCATGCATGGAAACACTGTTACTCAGTCCAGTCCTGCTGCTGTAATATTACAGCAGTATTGAGTGAATATGTTTTGAGTACAAGGATCTTTTCATTTGGTCTTTATTTGAATTTACGTTCTACTCCTTTAACTTTGAACCCTGTCTGACTGCAATCTCAGTGTGAGCCTCAGAAATCATAAAGGATGAGAGTCATCAGACTGAGCCTTCTCTGCACCATTGTGCCTCTTTTCTGTGGCTGATTGCTGTATCACTGCAAGGCGAGTGAAATGTAGGATTTACTTTTTTTTTTAAATTTTCTTCCAGAGCTCCTCACGTGATTTTGGACCTGTCATGCGATCCTCAGCTGCGGCCGCAGTGAGATTATTTTAACTCATTTCTACAGAATTAGCTGGATGACCGAGCACAGCAGGGCTGGAAGCCAGAGAGTCAGACGGAGGATGAAGTAGCTGTGCTGACTGAGAGAGAGGTAGAGGTCATTTACACGCTTCATGTCCTCTGCTCTGTCCCTGTACATGTTCTCATGTCATCCTGCTGTGCTGTTTGAACAGAACTCACACGCTGAGCACAGCTACTTCTCCCACTTTAATCTGGTGGTTACTAGAAGCTATGGATTTTTAAAAGAGATTATGGAACAGGACTTGTGGTTTTCACTTTGTCATTGAAAGAAATGGTTATTTTTGTGTATTTTCTGTTTTTGTTGTACAGACATTTTGTAATAAAAACACGATGAACTGCTCAAAGAACGACCACATCTCCTGCTGAAGACCTTTATCTTTATTTGTAATTGGGACGGAGCATGTGAAACAAAACCGTATTGTCCTGAATGAAACCTAAGAGGAGTAGTGAAGTGAAGACGGCTGCTGATGGGAGTAAATGAACAGTGCAGTGATGGCTTCTGGTTACTCTGTGAGGGACTGGGAGGCAGGAGGGGAGACGGCATGCATCTTATCTTAATGTATCAGTTAATGCACAATCACATAATCAAACTGGCCACAAGGGTGAAGAAGCATGAGGAGAGGAAAGCAGCGATGAGCATGATACAGTGACTGGTCTGAGCTGATACCACAAATCAGTTGGCAAATCAGATTTAAACTCAAGAGTTCTGTACATGTTCACAAACCAAACACATGAGACAGAAGCACAATAAGATCACAACACACTGCGGTGAAGCAGAAGAGCCCTCACACGTTGATCCGGAGCGGTTAGAGATCCACAGTGTGAAGTAAGGCATCGTATCTACCGTTCGGGTCAGAACAAAGTGCTGACAGCTCACAAATCATCGCACGGCAGCAGGACTGCCTCTTTTCTATCCCTCAACAGAAGAAAACGTATGTATAAGCATGCATTTACACCAGGTAGTATATCTCCATCGCTATTGTACACATACAATATACAACTGTACAGTAAAGAGTTGGAAACATAGTTGATTTTAAAAAATGTGCATGATTGACAATTATTTTTAAAAAAACGTTCACGTTAAATAGAAACGTTACTCATGATACAACCTAGATTTTTTTTTTTTTGGTTTATGAAATAAAATATTAAAGGAAAAAAAGCTTTTTTAATTATATTTACATAATGAAGGATGAAGAAAGACAATGTGCAAATCTGATTCCATGCAAGCTGTTGCATAATGTCGTTCAGGTGCTTGAGATATGTGAGAGAGAAAAAAAACTAAATCAAAGCTCAAGACCAGGGACTCATGTCTTCCATTCACGACTGCCCACGTCACACACACCCAAACAAGGTCATCACCATACAAACCAACCAACCAATCAAAGAAACATTCACACTGCAACATCAGACAGGAAATAACATCTTGATACAGAAGAATTCAAACTTGGGGTAAGACTTTGATTTGAAGCCACCAAACAGAGTAAAACCTGCTCCGGCCGTGAACAGCCCTGTTTCCTCGTCATTCTAATTTTCCATGAAGAAGTAATACTGAAGTAAATGAACTACACATAGGAGGTGATGACAACTTGCAGAGGAACCCAAAGCTCTCAGGATACTGCAGCCACAGACTGTGGTTAGCACAGTGGCAAAATGTTGTTCTAATTATCTTTTCTTATTTTCTACTTTGCAGAAGGTCTGTGTGGTTGTTTGTAATACGTAACAACTACTCAAATGATTTCCATTCAAAATTGGAGCGGATCCGGATTCTGTTTTTTTTTTTTTCTTTAACATGGCGAGAAAGCGCGTTAACCTCAGTGGAGGTTTAAACTCTCCACTTGCCGCTAGTTTTCTTTTAAATATCTTAACTTTTTTTTTTAAACAAATACAATCTGATTCAAGATCCACTGCTGTAAGCGACGGTATTTCAAGAGGCTTGTTCCTCTGCACCCCCCCATGACTAGAGTAAACTAATTCTTGGTGTAAAAACTATAACACAGATTATCTCTGATTTAATTAAACACTGTGTCTGAGAAAATCAACACTGGGTCTGGAGAACCGAGATTTCGGAACAAAATCTGCTGCAGAATCAAAAACAAGTTAACGCATCCTTCCTAAAAGCCAACAACAAAAAAAGGCATGAATAAAGTCGGATAATGTAACACGTGCAACGTGATGCAATGAGGTTCATGTGCAAATTTACTATAATTTGCTAAATTCACCATTTCACAGAAGAAGATGAGATGGATCTTTGGGCGACGGTGATCAAAGATGAGCTCTGACAGTACAAGCGGGTTTAAAAAGGCAACTGAAAGCAAACAAATAAATAATAAGACGACTTGGCATTTAAAACACGAGTGCAGTATCGTAAATACTGCACGTCACGATTTTTGTAACTACACAAACAAACACACACAACACACATAGGGGTTGAGGAGTAGTGGGTAATTTTCTCTGCAGCCTCTTGTCTTCAAACAGACAACATGTGAGAGAGCTGAGAATTTTTTAAAAAATGTTTCAAAAAGAAACAATTTTCTGTAACTGAAAGGTGTGATCCCACACTAAGGCATTGACTTTTACAAATGGGCGACAACGGGACAGGAAATAAATACACAATATCTTTTCCCCTTGACATAGTTTTCACAGGGCTGTCATCTTTTGGCTGGTGAGAGAGAAAGATGGTGGGGGAGGTCAGGAGAGATAATGCAGAGGCTGAAAGAGTCCAGTGAGCATCTCCCTGCACCTCAGCCTCTCGCCTCCTCCTCCTCTTCCTCTGCTGGCTGCTGGGCAGTGTCTGACCTTTTCTTACAGTAGAGCCTGAGAGGCCAGAAGAGGAGGGAGTGATGAAACCACGTATGTGTGGGCTTTAACAGTCTTGAAGGGATGAGCAGTTAGTGGTAATGTTTAGCCGACCCTGTGTCACCAGTGCCAGCACACCCCATCGTCCCGACCCCCGTCTGCCTGGCCGAGGCAGATGGACGAACAGCAGGAAAGATTACGGCGAGGAGGAGGCAGCTGCGTGGTATTTGACGAAGGCGATGGCTGCCAGCTCTTTGCAGAACTCCTCGAGCACAATCACGCCCTCCAGCAGAGTCATGTGGTCGATACTAAACGAGGAAACAATTGATTAAAAACTGCATCTGCTAAAGTAAACACAGGAGATAAGTGCACAGAGCGGTGTGGAAGTACGTACTTGATGCCCTCTGGCTCCAGACCTAATAATCTCTTCCTCACGAGCAGCAGTTTGGGGGTGAAGTCTGGGATGCGATGAATCCTCAACATGAGATCTCCCACAACCTGCATGAACACGCGTACAGGAACACGGGAGACGTTACCAAATCACAACGGCCCTGTTTCCATCCTCAGGTGAAGTAGAGCGTACTTCCTCTTGCATCACATTCAAATGTATTTCTATATTATTTCTAATATTCACATTTGAACAGATTTGTTACAAAATGTGCCTATTATCATTATCGCTATGTATCCAATCTCTAGAGGAGCAGCATGCCATAATCATGTGAGCGTCATACCAGCAATAGTAAGGTCGTACAATAGTGGAGACGTAAAAAATCTTTTGAAGGGCTGTTTTTTTTCTGCTGCAAGATGTATCCCCCCCCCGTGTGTGTGTGTTACTCTCTCGGAACAAGAAGACACACAACTGCAGCAGATCAGTGACGGAAGCCGAGCCGCAGAGCCAACACATTTAGAAAGTAAATAAAAATATAGCTTTAGAATAGATTTTTTAAATATTCAAATTATATCCGACGCAAAACACCAGTAATGACGTGACTGTAATTAACATTCAAAAAACTAAGACCATCAACGTGGACATTAGCTGCTTCCAGCTGCCTCTCAACTGCTGCTTCACTGTGAGACAGGCTTTAAGAAAAAGTAGTTGGACTGATTCCCAGAAGAGGAGAGAGGAGGGTTTCTTCCAGTAAGAAACAGGTCAAGTAGCAGCACGCAGGGAAGATTACAGAGAAGTGGAATTCACACTTGCTCTGGCTTGAGATAAATGCCAACACTTGTCTTAATCATGACTGTTTTCTTGCACTGCACATTTTGGAAACCAATCTTTACAACCAACACTTCACCATTCTACACCTGACAGAAACCATAAAGTGAGAAACCTTAAATAACAGCCAGTGTCTTCTCTGGGAATGGAAGTGTCTGCTATCAGTGATAAGATAAACACTCGGTAATCTAAACAAGAGTCTTACCCTGACGATGACAGAGAACAGAGACCTGCAGCCCGGGGCCAGGCTGATATAAGGGTCCAGCAGGTACTCGTGTAAGTGGGGGTGTGGTAACAAAGACAGCTTGGACAGCACGGCGGTCACCTGCAGGTTCACATCGTACGGCTGCGAGACAGAGGACACGTCAGACGAAGCATTGACGATAATAAATAACAGAAAATAGCTCACATTACTCAGAATGTGTTATTGACAAATGCGTCAATTAATATAACACTTGCAGCTTTTAGGAAATCAAATGAAATATTTGATTTCCTAAAAGGCACAGGCAGAAACCAGAGAGCTGCCAACGAAATCTCCATTCGTCATGTTCACGATTCCATCTAACGAGGTTTTTCATATTTGTTTATGACGGGCACTCGTTTTTATTTTTCTAAAATAATTGGAAGGCCTCTGCATAATCAGCTGCTCATTTGCATTTTGCAACTGAAGTATTTTTAAGCTGCGCATGAGAACAGACGACCTCATTTACACTCAGATGCACTGAACAGGTTCTCCTGACGGAGATTTTACTGTTCAAATGTAAAGGCACAACAAGTCATTCCTCACATGCAGAAAGCTTCATTCACTGCGATCTGGTTGTACACGTCACGCTAGATCAACCGGTTTGCTTTGCTTCAGAATCCTCTGACAGTGAGTTTATTTGGTCTTTATATTTCAATTACAGGCAGATTGATTTGAATTCAGGCGCTGAATGAGCAGAACACTACCTGTTCTTTTTGTTCCGTTTATTTTACAAGACGCAAAGTTGCTTTTGTGATTTTAAAGCAATCATTTGATTCATTAATTTGTTATTCAGACGAGTGGAGCTTTAACACCGTAACAGATAATTCATACAGACATTTTGACAGTAGAGCGTACAGTTGTTCTGAATGATGTCAGCATTACCACAAATGTTTAGTATACTGTGAATCAAACTGACCTGATCTAGGATGCGACCCATCCGGTCGAAGAGAACCTTGAGGAAGTGTCCCTCAAAGAACGGCATTTCCAAGTTACACTTCTCCAAAGGTTTTGGATTTCCCCTCCAGTCCCACCGCTGGCACACCCCACAATAGTCCCTGAACTGAGGGGAACAATTCAAACAGACAATGAGACTGACAGGATGACAGTCACTCAGAAGCTGTCTCAGCTTGATTGACAAAGTAAAGAACACAGACTTTTTATAAAGACTGACAATGTGTCTCCACTCCCCCCCCTCTTTCTAGATTTGAAGCAAAAATACATTGGATACAAATGCTGCCATCTGGTGCCGGAGACATTATTTGGAGCCAGAGTCTGTGCAGTCGTGACCAGAAGAAGGAGGCCACGGTATCGAGGTACCCTCAATACACAACCTCAACCAATCTCAAGTCAGTCTCATGCTGTATCACCTCATTTTTATAGCATCAAATAACTCATTCAAACCAAATTTATCTGAAACATTTACAATAAAAACTCCCCTAAAATGACATCTTTGACAAAAATGTATTCAAAGTGTACTTTGACTTATTAGATTGGTCCATGTCTCATCCACTAACATGGAAGAGAAGGCACGTACAATCTGTACTGCATTCAAAAACCAGGTGGTGATTGAGATGCTTTGGCTTTCATGTCACACATCTTTACACTTTTTGGTGAAACGCTGCATGAAAGTGTTCAGGATTTAAGAATCTTTACAAAACAGCCAGATCTGACCTGTCTGTGAGCGTCTCTGAGGTAGGTGTCATAGCCCGTGCCTTCAACGTGATAGGATGACTTGGCCTCATCAGGCACCAGGCACAAGAAACTGCAGAAATGAAGATAGAACATAAAGAACATTAAGAATAAAACAGGCTAAACAACCCTACACGTGTTGTTTCATGAGCTGCTCTGCTCACCTGTTGACAATCTTGTGGACCTCCGTCTTCCCGTCAGACTTCGTGTGGTCAGGACTCTGAGGTGGAGAGGAGCTGAGCCAATCAGAACCAGACAGCCTGCTGTCTGGAGAGAGGTCGTCGCCGAACAGTGGATCCTCCTCGAGGTCTCTGCAGAGAGAACAAAGGTTTATCAGACTATGAATTACTTCTATTTATCAGATTTCAATGATTTTTTTCATCATGCAACAAGACACATCAGTTGAATGAAAGGAACCAACTGTTTGTTATATTGTTAAATGTTTTATCTCTTGTAAGATTTCAATTTGAGATTCAGATCTGATAGTAGTTAATTACACTTGGGGTCTATGTGGCAACTTTGAAATCTGTTATATAATGGGCAGATTTTAAAATGGGATTTTCCTTTAAGATATTAGTCAACTCTTCTGCAAACCTATAAAAACTACACAGAATAAATATGAAAGAATGTGTGAAAAACAGTATGTTGAATTAATTCATTTCTATGAAAATCATGAGAAATGCCTCTGAAGACGTTTATGTCTTAACTGTGATTTTCATTCATCATTTAAAACAAAGACAAGGATAAACAATCACTGCTCATTACATTTCAGTCTCATTAAACTGACTTTGATTTACAGATGCAGTGGCTGTCTGGATTATCATGCTCCCACTTAGTGGCGGCTCAGAAGAATCTCACTGACTGAACACAAAGTGATGAATCATTCATGAAGGGGCAGGATATCTGAAAAACACAGCTAGTTGATGCATTCATTTTATTTCTGCTGGACTGTGTCCGTGCAAAGGATTTTCCACAAAGTGTGTGTAAAGTGGGCAGCTCGGTGGGGTCAAGGTTAGAGGCAGGTCCTTACACGGCGTCGTGGGGCTGGCCGTTCTCCAGGGGCTCCCGCTCCTCCTGCGGTTTATTCTCCAGGTAGTTCCTCTCCTCCAGGCTCCGCAGCACCAAGCTGTGGAGGATGTGCTCGTTGGGCTTCTGAATGAGGTGCTCGAACAGCCGCAGCGTCATGATGCTGATCTGGGGACAGGGAGGAAAAGATGAGGATTACCTCCCACTTTAAATCAACAGCAATGTGCCAAGTGTTCGCTCGCTGACAGAAAAGTGAGCAGATGCTGCTTAAACATCGAAGAGATGAGTCATCCCTCTTTTGTGTGAGGAAAATGTGTGCAGTCGTCTTGTCAGATACTAATTAAAATTCATGGTTTGTGTGATGGAAATCAGAATCTTTGAAGGGCAGATGGCCATTTTTGTGAAATTAAGGACGTTCATGTTTGGCCCTGTTCAGGACTGGAATTAAAACGTGTCGTGATGTGATCGGATCTCACTTTCTATATGCGAATAATCACCAAGTGATATTCGTAGCCAATTGATAGAGATAGACACAGCAGAGTCTGAAGAAGACAGAAATCATTATGTGGTGTTCAGTGTTATTTTGGTGATGGCTACAAAAAAAAAATCTATGTATTGAACAGTGTGAAAATCCTTCAGATTAATTGTGAAATTGTTGCAGGTCAGAGGACGTCAACTGTGTAGGCGCTCCTTCATATGTGGCTCAGTGCACATTTGCGTACACACAACTTGAGGATGCATTGGAGCTTGATTATAAACTGTGTGATAAGAACCTCGTCGGACAGGTGGTCACAGTGCTCAATGAGTCTGTGTCTGAGCGGAGTCTGAGCGACGGTCGCTGGAGTCTCTGCGTCTTTCTCCTCTCCCAGCAGGAAGTAAACCATCTCCTGCAGCAGAGCCTCGGAGGTCACCTGCCTGATGATCCTGTTCAGCAGGGCTGTGGACGTCAGGATTCCAACCTCAGACCTGTTTGCACCCAGAGGCACAGCTCATGAGTTACAGAGCAGTGACAACACACTGACAAGAAAGACAAATTTGAATTCTGGGTGATTGATTGATTGTCGACTTACGTCTGCATAAGCTGTGGTTCCATCACAGACACAAAGAATCTTTCTCTCACTGCCTTTGCCATCACTGTAGCAGCCAACTGAAAGACAGTGAAGAAAAACAAAGAAATGCTGTTCAGCCGTCTGTGCTGATACAAAAAACTTCCTCGATAGAAGTTCTTGTATTGTGTCATCTCTGACTAAAGAATGATGCATCGAAACACAGTGAGTCAGCAGTGGTTAAAGACCTTGTGAGCCTCCTTGATAAGCTGGTCACAGTAATCTAGCCAGGACAGGAAGGAGATGAGAGCCCTCTTCCCTGTGAACACAGCAGCATCCTCCTTCAGGTTGTATACATCCAGACTGAAAGAGAGAAGAGGATAAAACAACTTTTTTAAATTATCCCACAGAGAATATCTTTTGGGACATGATGCTGTAATGACACAATTGTATGAGTGGTTACAAGTCGCTACAGTTTTGATTTAATTAAATATGTGGTTTTAAGGCTAATTCATAGTTTCAGTGTCCACCATTCCGCTTTGGTGGTAAATGTCACCATCCACTCATGTCTGCTTGGGTACGTACGACGTCCGCACACTCTTGATTTGGTGGCAACTTGTTTTTGAAAGGAAGCTGTGCAAATACATAACTGCACATAACTACACTGACTGTACGTGTAGACTGCACATTCCAGGTGCAATATGTCCACCTACTGGAATGGAATGTGAGATAAAGTGTGCATGTGAGGGTCATTTTACTATGAATGGAACTGTGCACATGTATGTGTGAGCAAATGAGTATGCAACTCTCAGCAGACACGTAACAAGGACAGCATCAACCATTTAGGAAGTAAACACTAGAAAGACATTTACCCCCAGTTGACTGACTCCACTGTCTCAATGTCCAGGGGGTCCAAGGACTGTGGCAGGGCTTTATAGAAGGCGACCAGCCTGTCAGTCAGAAGCTCACAGAGCTCCGTGTTTTCAGTTAAACACTTGGCAGCAGAGGGCTCTGGTAAACTGACCAGCAGCATTAGGCCCTCACACGCCTTCACCACTATCCTGCCATCCTGAGTGGATAGAAAAAAGAACATGGGTCATGGATACCAACTTTGAGCTCACAGCAAAGAAAAAAAAAGTGAAATCATAGGTTACTCACAGGGCTCTTAGTGAGGTTGAGGAGGGAAGTGACGAGATTGTAATTGTTACTGTTGTTGTTGTTGCTGGTTGGACTTGAGGTGGAGGCAGCGGCAGCAGCAGCCTGTGGCTCCTCCTCTGTCTGAGACTGACCAGTGTCTGGAGCCTTCACTGACTCTGCTCTTTCAGGACTCTTAGTCTCAGGTTTCTTTGACTTGTTCTAAAAGAAACATCACAAAAAAGAGATATTTTCTGAGCTAGGCTGTTAAAATCTTGTAAGGTTCTTGACAGTAATATATGCAGATGAATATTTATGAAGGTGAAGCTTTTTTATTTCTCTCTGGTGTCATAGCAAATTCACCTCAAGGAAGAAGTTGACAAGATACGGGTCCTGCTTTAGTTTGGCACAAACTATACAAAGGAACTGGATCTCTTCATTTTCTGTCGGAGCAGCGAGTACGTCCCCACATAGACGGACCAGTTTCTGACAGCCGCACAAAAAAACAGTTATAAATAGTTTACATAAGCTGTCAGTCAACGGACTATTTTCAGCAAAAAGAACGATGATCAAAAATCCACAGAAATCTAGACTGCAACACGTCTCACCTGTACAGGTCTGTGCACGTTGATGTGTGGCAGGAGAGGCTGACGAATGTGTGCTAGCAGCTTTGTGTAGAAGGTTAGCACCTGCTGCTTCATACCTGGAGGACACTGAAAAACATACAAACAGCTGTTATATATGATATATTTGGTGTTATCAGCTGAAGTGTTGCACTTCAGCTGATAGCACAATGACGTGTCTCCAGCTGCCCCAAACTCCAATGGCTCCTAAATAATTCTCTGCTTTGATTTCTTCTAGATTTAATCTGATTTTACTTAGGTGCCATACCATGAAATGCATATTTTCCTGAATTTATAGTTCATGTAGTTACCAAAGCATGATTGTCTTACATCGGCCTTGCCCAAGGTGTAGAGAGTCTCCAGGATCTTATGGTGTAGTAGATACTCCATGCAGGGTCCTGTCTCTCCAGACTCCCTCTCCCCTTCCTCCTGGGTCAGGATGTCCAGCATCTGTTCCAGGTGGGATGGGATGTTGGTGTCTGTGACTGGAGCTTTGTCATCTAACAGGAGAAAACAAAAAAAAAAAGTAAGAACTTGTTTGCCTAGAATGTAATAACACAAAGAAAAAGGCCTCTCATTTTCAGCATAAGAAAGTTTTCATCAAAAAATGTCCTGTGCAAAGCTTCATCTTTTCTTTTCCTTTCCTTGTAAACAGACTAAAGCAAAGTTGCATAACTTATCAAGCCATATTTTGTGTTCACTGATTCCACTGACATTGTCAATAGCTCCCTGGGTAACAAGAGTCTGTTTATGTACTTTCTCACATTAGCTTTATCAAGTCAGGACAGGGAACAAGCAAGCAAACAACAGGGCAATGCATAGTGTACAAATAAGAAATAATGATTAATCATAACATTGTTATGCACAAGTGGTTGCAATGGTCGTCAATTAAGGCCAGTTTCTAGGGCAAACAACGACAGCGTCACTTAAGTCACAAGTCTGCAAAACCAGTGATTACAGTAAAACAAGCTTGTTTGTGTAATACTTGTAGAACACATAATCCTTCATTATTTAGAGTGAAGAGTGAGAGAAGGAGACTTTCCTGTTCCAAAATATTCAAAAAGCTGATGTCAGTCAGTTCAAGTTGTCAAAACATTACATGACTGGGTTTAACCATCGAGCACCAGCTTAAATGAAAATGGCACAGTCACAGAGCACACAGGTGAAGGAATTACTCTCATAGACTGGTCCACATTGTTATTACTAACCCAACCAGGACGACATTCCCAGCATTCTTCACATTCAGGAAATGTTAGTTATGCAGCTTACGATTTAAAATGCTGCAATTTGCTCATAAAGCAAGTTTAACTCTTTAATGTTTTATTCTAAAAGTAATATATTGATTTATCAACAGTGAATATATCTTGAACTGTAACAATACGACTGTTTAACACAATGTGAAAAACTTCTCAACAGGCTTAGATTTCCTCATTGAGGTCAAACTTAAGACATCAGCAGCTTTGCAGGCAGCGTGCACAACGGTAAATCTACACCTGAGGATAACGTGATCATAGCATCCTGATCGTTGTTTCTTTTCTTACCTGAAGTCTCGATGTAATAATGTGTAATGGCCTTCCAGTGATAGACAAAGTCCTCCTGCAGGGGCAGCGATGGAGCAAGCTGCGAAAGGAAAAGAAGTATATTGAAACTATGAACATATAAACTTTATAAACAAGTATATTGTCTGTTTATAAAGCTGGAACTGAGATATCCTGCTCATCATAACACTAACATGACGATTTGTGTCAGTCACTAACATTTTAAACAGAGATTAAGACAAGTCTATGAGGAAGATTGTCTCTGAGTTTAATCTAATAGTTTTAAATGGAATATTCCATAGCTTGAATGATTCTAGTTTAGAAATGCCCGAGTCAAGTAAAGTACTTCTGATCTGTCAAAGTTTCAGAATTTAATTCAACTTTCCCTCTCAAGTGACATAACAGTGACACATGTTATGACTCCTATCCTCGTGCCCAGCATCAAGGTCTAAGATCGGTTTTATTAAAATCACTATTAGAAGTTTTCCCGTAAACTCAAGTGTGTGATCACCCAGAAGCCCCTGACATGAAGCAGCTGGACAACAGGTCACAGCTGGGTTGTAGCTAGTTAGCTGGCTGGCTAATATATGCTACGTGATGCTTTCTAAAACGTGGTGCGACATAACGAGCAGCCTGTTGCTCTAATGTTACAATGGAACGTTTGCGCAACATTAAACGAGCCTGTCCGCTCATTTCGACACCGCTCATCGCGATGAGACCCCGCTGTCTGAAACGGGATAGCTAACCAGCTAGCTACTGTCGTTAGCTTAGCTTCTTGCGGCTATTATCAGCTGACGTCGGGGGCTAACGCTCAGCTTGTTGAGATATGTGTAACACAGTTGTCGAGCTGAAATTCAAACAACACCGATGAGGGGTTGTGTTGATCCGTATCATAAGACACCGGACAAACAGAAACACGTGTTGGTATATTGTAGCTAGCATGGAATAAATGCAAATAAACAACACAAAACGCTAATGTGCTAGCTGGCTAGTTAGCAGCGTATCCCAATGCTGACGCTATGTTGATGTCTGGGAAACCAAAGGCCTCGGCTACAGGAAACAAACATCTCACAGCGGTGAGCCACTAGATGGATACATGTTGTGGTTGAATATAACCCACCGCTTCCACGGCGTGCTGGAGGATCGAGGTGAATTTGGAGAACATTTTGTTCTTCGACTGGACGAGTTTCTCCCGAGAAGACCTAGAGAATTCCTCTATCTTCTTCTTCCTGTTGCTGCCGCCTCGATCCAGATTGGAGGTTTCATACAACGACCCTTGAAACGAAGAGAAGAAGCCGTCAGCAATAAAACCGGAGCACGTTGGGCCTGGCACAGCCGCTGTAAACAACCGCACGTCCACGGACCAGACTCGAGTATCTTACACTTTGGACACGGTGGCACTTCTCTCGCCAAACGATGCCGCGTGCGCACCGGCAGGGGGCGCAGCGACACCAGACACCGGGGTCTTAATAATCGCAGACAACGATCGACGCATACAAAGAGAAGAGACAATGAAAGATCGATGTTTCTCTGCGTGGAAACACGAACCAGCGAGAGCATCTGACACGTATGGAGCAGGGTGTGATCCCTATAAACACAGCGACACAAGTTATGTGGAAAATCTCAGTCATCTGGAACATGTTACTGTTTCTCCCAGATTGCAGCGTTTTTTTGCGTTAAAGTATCATGAAGCAAAAATAAGTCAAACAGATCGCCTCATATTTTCCTTTTAGTAGCGGGATTAATGGGGGTGGGGGGGGGGATGCTCCAGAGTGCCTGTCAACTTTCCGACGGGGCTCAAACAGCACAGTCATCCCAGAGGGAGGAAGGGAAAGTAGGTTAGCTGGGTTTAGGTTTGGGTGACCTGGCAGCAGCGGGATTCGATCTCATTCTCAAGTCTGCACTTCTGTGACATTATGTTCAAATAAGGACACAAAGTTGTTGGAGGAGAAGAGGGATGCTGTCTGGTCCAGGACACGCCCTGCATGCCTGTCGCTGCTGGGAAAGTGCGGTCTCCATCGCGCAGCCTGTGTAGTCTGTCTGCACAAAAATCGCAGGCTGAACGCTCCCCTGCCTTTAACCCGTAAAAGAAAACTTAAAGCATATTTAAAATCAGGTTGTCCGTCTTCCATCCTTCCTCCTGCAATCGCACCGGGGCTTCTCCTCCTCCTCCTCCTCCTCCTCCTGACAATCCCTGCAAAAGAAAGGCAGAAAGAAAGAGAGGCTCTACCTACCGGGCATGTCTGCTAGAGGTGAGTATCTTTTGCCGCAGAAGCCTTCATAACAATACACACAGAGGTGGAAGTCTTATCATCGTCCTTCTTTGGGGGATGGGGGGAGTCTTGGCTCAAGGGTGGACGCAGAGGAGAAGAGAGCCCATTTGCGTCGTCTTTCTGCAGGCAGCGATGATAATGACTGTGTTTCTAAGTAGGTTACACCGGTGCATGGCTGAAACTACAGCTTCCACCGCTGCAGCCCTCAAGTTATCTTGTTGATATGGACGCTCGTGTATTCTGGTGCAACTATAAATAGATCCCACTGCTTTTTGCACATGCACCTCCTCTGACTGCAGTTTCTGTGGATGTTTCGTCTGAAAGCAGGGGTGGTGCATGTATTTAGTTAGAGGCTGCACACACTTAATTGTTGCCTATACTTGCAAGCCGCTGATTTGGGTTCGTTGTGTCAGCTGGCGGGTTGTGATGCAGTGGAGTTGTGTCATCACCCTGGTCAAGCCTTTAGTGAGGGGATGAGAAGTACCGGAGGTTTTTTGGGGGAAAGGGTACAAATACTATTTGGTCTCACGGTGTCTGCAGCTGATTCCAGTTCAGATCAACCTCCAAACAGTGCAGGTGGACCATGTTAGTCCTCACCAGGTGGACCTTAGTGCTGTCCTGGATTCATGTCAGGTGACTGTGCTGTAGGCAGAAGTGATAAAGAGCCTCCAGCGTTTCCTGCTGTGATCATATTGTCTGACTGAGATCTGGATAAATACAGTTTGTAGATATTTAAATATATACAAGACATGTTTCTTGGGGATGCTCGCCTCTTGTCCAGGAGGCTTCTTTGGTTCTAACCGACTAGTGGGTTGGTTAAACCCACAGAGGCTATAGGCCCAGGAGCCCCTGCTGGTTGATTGGGGCTGGGGAGATGGGAGATGGGGCGTCTTAGGGGCATGAGTGGGCCCAGATGCCTATGGGGACATTTACATGTCCTGAAGATGGGTGGGGTAGCGTTTCCTCAGTTCCTGTTTTTTTTTCTTTTGTGTTTTTGTGTTTTTTATTTCTTAGTGCTCTGTAAAACTCCTGCTTTGTCCACTTAGAGACAGGGGGTGTTTTATGTGAAGCACTTTGTGTTACATTTTGAAAAGTACCATATAAATAAAGTCTGATTGATTCATTGACCTCAAGATTATTATAGTAAATCTGCAGCTGCATTCACCATGACTGGTCTGATCCTGGTATTGAATGAATCATCAACCTCTTATAAAGAGGCTCTATAGCTGTACAGTATATCACTGCCCTCCTCTTTGTAGCTGTTGCGAATGACTTTGAACCCCCACCATTACTGACATGGTCTCTACTGTATCTCCTCCATGGCTGCCGGTGGAGATCGATGGAGCTCAGAGCCTATGCAATGATTGACAACCCCTCGGTGATACATGGATCTGAATAGCACGCTTAACATAGTGAGGTGCCAGTTATCTCCAAACAAATGTGATAAATCAGGCTCAATAGCACAAATGTGCATGTTTGGGACAATATGTCAAATAACTCATTTGGCTAACAGTCAGTGCATCCAATGTTGCAGTGGTTATAGTTCTCCCCTTTCATATGCACTTGAGATGTTGATGTATATGTGTATATTCAGAACCTTTGTGTAAATGCATTTTCGTTTGGTGTGTAGAGAACCTGCATGCACCTCCCCATGTTTTGGCTATAGTCAGAATATCATCTGATTGATAACTCCAGTGACATGGGATTAATCAGCACATATTTTGACAATCGAACAAAAAGCCAAACATTCTCCTCTTTCAGCTTCTCAGTTGTGAGGATATGCAGCTTGTTTTTGTTGCATCAGATTGCTGGATTGTTGTTTGACCAAAAAGCAATTTGAACACAACACAAGGTACTGAAGAAATGTATAATGAATATGTTTTTCTGTTTTTTATGGAGGAGAGACTGATTGAGAAAATAATTACAAGTTGCAGCCCCAATGTGGATTATTGACATTATCCCTCAACCTAATGTTTAGTTTAAAGCTCCTCAAAGCTGAAACGTGTCCTCTGGTTTTATTATTACCTCTGTCTGACCTCTGTCTGTCTGTTAGTAGTATTACGCAAAAACTACTGAAGGGATTACAAAACTCGTTGGAAGACTGTGTCAGGGAAGAACCCACAAAAATTTGGTGCGGATCCAGGAATTATTTTCACTGTCTTTGCCATTGTGAGACAGGTTTTGTTTTCAACATTGTCATAGATTTCATAGAGATTACTTGATGGATCTTGATGACATGAATCAGGAAGGTTTAGGGGACTGATATTTGTGCAATTTGGGGGGATAATGAGGGGACCGTTCGTAAGGGGACCGTTGGGCCTTGGTGAAGATAAAAGCTCTGATAGTCATTCTAATTTTATATTATATAGTATCAAATACTGTATATACAGGCAATATTAGAACTAAAACATATAGGGTGATTGATAAAGTTTTTCCCATAACAGGAAGTCAAAAAATTAAATCAATTCAATCAAATGACTTCAAGTTTATCTCCTCTCAGTATACACACCTATGATTAGTCTCATTTTCAGTTGTCCATTGAGCATCAGCCATTACCACCTCCTCTTCTATTAGCACAGGGCTATCACCTTGGAAGCGATGACCTTCCATTAGTCACCCCACCTTATAATAAACCCTCGCAGGCATACAACTCTTTCCCAGCCTTTTAGACTCATTATATTTCCTGTGCTGTTTTTCTTTTGTCTGGAATCGCCTGGCATGATTGAATCAAACCTTTATTATCCTGGGGGATTTTAACAGAGCACATATATTTCAAGCAGCGCAGCCACTTTCCTTTCTCCCCATGAGTTGCTCACTGCGAGGTTGAAGGCTATTGAGCTGAGGGGTGAAGTACATTGTTCAAGGTCACCCTGGGAGTTGAGGGATTGTGTTTCTTATCAAATACCTCCAATTACTGTACATTCTCCCTCTTGGTGTGGGGACCCTCCCGCAGCTTTGCCATTTAGCATGATCTCACTATTTATTTTAATAGCTGTGGGGTTTCTTCACTGTTTTGGTTTGCCTGTGCCGGTTAACTTATTTTTTATCTTGGACCATTCAGGCCGGCCGTCTGTGCTACACAGCCCAATCTTAAAATAACATGTGTTGGAAAGTCAGTTTCCTTCAAAACTGACTGCTCATATCTTATATTACATTTGATGAACCTGTTTGGAGACATTGTACTGCAGTGTGCTGAATTTATGTATTTATTGTATTTACCACATGGTTCCAATGTTGAAATAAAATATTTTTTTAGACCTGTGACCAAAAGCAATATGTGTGAAAGCTTGTTCTTTCTGAAATACATTATCATGTTAAAGCTTATTTTTCTGTGACTTTCATGCTTCCCTGTTTGTGCCCAAACTTTTCCTGTGATCGTACCATTAAGTAATCATCATATTTGGATTCTAGATTGCTTTAAGTGACTGTATCCCTGACACCTTGTACATCTCCAGTTTTGCCTTGCTTTGACTTCCTTCTCCGCCCCGCCCTTTCCTATCAGCAGGTTTAGCACATCCTGAACACCGTGCCTGTTACACTGCAGTGCACTCCTGATGATCAATGGTTGATGAAAAAAAGGAGGCAAGGCTCCATTCTGCAGTAACCCAATCTGATGCTTCCTCCTTATCCGACCAGTGGAGAGTGCTCTAGCAGCATGACCCTCTGCATCAGCACTTTTCTCTCTCTCTCTCCCTCTGTGTGTACTGTATGTCATGTAGGAGGGTTTGCTGTGCACGCGCATGCATGTGTCCTGGCAAAAGGCTGAATAATTGATGAGCTGGGGAAGGAGTGAAAGTGCTTCTGGACGGGACGGTGTGTGTGGGAGTGTGTAGAGATGGGGGAGAGGAATACGGCGAGGAATCAGCCTGGCTACGATGGGCTCTGCAACTACGCCCAAAAAATCACCTCCTGCTTCGGACTGGATGGTAAGACATGAGAAACGTAAAGAGCTGTGTGTGTGTATGTGCGTGTGTGTGTGTGTTTCTTCCAGTGCGGAGCAGGATGCAGAAACAGCAGAGGCTATGAAAACATTTGGGATGTGTTATGTGTGCAATGCTAATTTGTCTGCTTGCAGGGGCGGCAGTCTTGTTTTGCGAGCATGTGTGGGTTGATGTGCGAGTGTGTGGGTAGTTGTGTCAAATCTACAACAGAGTGGATGACAGTTGGAGGGCAGTGCCTCA